TCTCTCTCTCTCTCTCTCTCTCTCTCGCTTGCTCGTTCGCTCGTTCACTAGCTCTCTCTCTCTCCCTGTCCGCCTCTGGGCGTGTGTGCTCATTAATGTGTGTGCCAGCCTGCATGTACATGTTTATGTGAATATAGGTGCATAAATAATATAACGATGACTATTTTCCCAACTCTCCTCAGTGTTTCTTTTCGTTTTGGGTTATTATATTCTTCTTCTCCCAGTTTACGATCTTTAGATGCTGCCCCAGCTCTTATTCTTTTTTTCCCGTTTGTTGTACTCCTTGTTTTACTTTCATTTTTGGCCGCCAACTAGCTAAACTAATGGCATTCTATTTTGAGCAATTATGGAATTCTCCTTAAAAGCATCAGAAAGCTTGAAGATGCTGTTTGATATAAGTTACACGGAAGTTTGAACAGAGGTGAAACAAGAACTTTAGTAGATCCGTTAGTGTCATGTCTTTGAAAACGTTCTTTGAAATGGCCCAACAGAAGCTACGCTATACCACTTAGACACATTTTCCCCTTCTTCATGAGTCTAGTTTTCCTTTTAATTTCTTTTGAAAAAGCCTATGGCCAACACGTAGTCTTGGGAAAATGCGTAGTACTTTGCATAGTGTTACATTTATGCCATTAAGGGCGTATGTTATTTGCGTGTTCATGGGTGTTTAGGACAGAACACACAGGGGTAGGTAGGAATACGTAATCGTCACCCATCGTCTTTGTAACTGTGTTGAGATTTCTGTGTATGCCTGTTACCCAAATAGACAGGAAATGTATTTTGAAGGAATAAAAGGGCGGGTTAAAGAAGTTGAGTAGAAAAGTTGAGACAAAGCGAGAAATTCAGCGCAGACGAAGGAAGAAGAGATAGAGCAAAATAATTATGAAACAGGGAGAGAACAAAAAGCTAAACAAAAGGAAGAATGATAAACAGAAACACAGACAGAGAACGGGAGAACTGTTATCACTCTGGGTGTTGGAATTACAAGCTCTGGAAACGTGATTTGAATACAAAGAAAGTCGAAGACAGAAACAATTAATAATTTTAAAAAACACACACACGCACACAAAACATGGCAAATAGACTGTCAAACAGAGAGCTCTTTACCCAGACTCACTAAAACAGCAACACAAAATGTAAAAATGTCAAATTAAACTTTCAAATTTTGTTTCTTAAAGCATATTTAAAATGTGTCCAAAGTTGTCAAAACAGTATCGAGTCACCGGTGATAGGACGCGATAAAAAAGTATTTTTAAAAATTGTATTTGTTTGTACGCCCCTATCGACACTATTTGGATCATTTAGAGGGTTTTCGGACCCTCACTGAGAGCGATACATCATCCCATTAGAAAGACCAAGATACTGGATAAAAATGTTCTCCCCATGAGAGAGAGAGAGAGAGAGAGAGAGAGAGAGAGAGAGAGAGAGAGAGAGAGAGGGGGGGGATAGACAGACAGACAGACAGACAGAGTGAGAGAGAGAGAGAGAGAGAGAGGGGGAAGTGAGAGAGAGGAAGGGAGGGAGAGAGAAAGAGAGAGAGAGAGAGAGAGAGAGAGAGAGAGAGAGAGAGAGAGAGAGAGAGAGAGAGAGAGAGAGAGAGAGGAGAGAGTGGGACAGAGAATCTAAGAGAGAATTTTAGGAAGACAGACAGGCAGAAAATGGGGATGGGGAGTAAGCAAAATGGGGATTGGGTGGAAGGGAAAGGGGGGGGAGGGGGGGTAGACCGGCGGAGAAATTGTATAAAATTATAATGTTCTTCGAAGCTAAGTACATGTATTTTTTTCCCGCTCACTGCTAGCAAGAAATATTTCATCTATTAACAAGAAAGATCCAAATACATGTATAATATAAAGAGTGGATGTTAGGGGAGAGGAAAAAGTACTGTACTGACCTAGAATAATTTCGATAGACAACCAAGCCAGCAAATCAAGACTTGTAACCAGAACTCTAACCACATAAACAACAACGAAAACCGTGAAGGTGCTCTTCAGATTTCGTCATGAAAGCAAGAAGCTTATACGTGAAAAGGCAAACAGCAAAGTAGTCAAAAGTTCATCTTTTATCAGGCACATACAAAAAGAAAGGTAAATGAGCGCAACATAAACTTGGTAGCACTGACCTCGAGTCACAAATGTGACGTTGTTACTGCAATACCAAAATCTCTCGTTGATTAATGTAGGTCAGGACAGCTGGTCATCATTTCAACGGCTGGTGTCAGTAGATGTTGCTGTAGCTGTTGCGTTTGCTGGTTGCTGCAGCTGCTGTTATTACCACTGCTGTTACTGCTGCTGTTGCTGCGGATGCCGCTCACTCGTCTGCTGCCACCACCTCAAGCTGTTACTTCAACTGACCTCACGCGCATACCACAGCCTAGATATTTCTCTCCACCTATTTATGCTGTTCTGTTTTGTTTTGTTTCGTTGTTTTTGTTTTTGTTGTTTCGCTCCTATTTTATCTACACTGTGAGGCTGAGCGTCTCCCCCTCTCTCTCTCCCTCTTACTCTATCTTTGTATTCTTTTTCTTCTTGTTTCTCTTACAGTTTGTCACTCCCTCTCTCTCTCTCTCCCGCGCGATGTCTCCAGCAACGCAGAACAGTCCAATGCACCACTGCTCAGTCGAATGAGGCCGCTGGAAACAGCTGGTGGAGACTGCTCACACGAGAAGGCTGGAGACCTACAGTTCGTGTGTTCAGTGGTGGAAATTCATCGCCAGGCCTTCTGACACTCTACTAATTTCGTATAGCATGCACGATCAACGTGCAACAGCTTTCAGTGAACCAGGATCGAGTGGAGTGTTTTTGACGCATACACTCTGTAGCTTTAATGAAAATCAATCTCTTTCGTCTCCAGGCATCATTGATTTAAAGCTACTCTTTTTGATGAAAGTTCTTTTTTTCCTTCCAGTCTCTCTTGATAGAAATTATGTCTATTAAATGATGCCAGCGTGTCTTCTAGGATGCTAGCAAAGATTCCAAGTTGTTGTAGAATCCAGCCGGCCTTGGTCAGGTATGAATTCTTGGCCCCCTGAAAGCTCAATATCTACCTTTATACCCCGGGAGTAACGTCTCAGGTAAACAGACAGAGATGACAAGAGAAGCTCGATAAAATAGGAATGCAACAGGCACGCGCCCTGCTATTGGTCATGAGGCACGAGCGTCAAACGTCACGACCTGATGCCGCCCACGTGGAGAGGCGGGGCTTGGCGACACCCGAGCTCTGTCGTACGTCTCCGGCCCGGGGTGCGCACGCGAGGTGAGAGCATACCCGACCCAGACACAGATCCACCGGGGTGGGGTCGGGGGGTAACCACGGGGCAGGATGCACAGGTAGAACAGTGCTACGGGACTACAGGACACACGTTTCGGGGAGGGCGGAGTAGGGGCGGAGGTGTGGGGGTGGGGGTAGGGGGTAGCTTTGTTAAGGAAGGGTACAGAGAAAGAGTGAGAGCAGGGGGTAAAATTTGGCGGGGAGGAGAGGGGAGGGGGTGATGAATGGTATGGGGTGAGTTTGTAGACCCTTAGCTAAAGAAACGGTTCATTGGGGTAGGGAGGAGTACGTAATTGTCACGCTTACCAAAAGGTAAGTGAAAGAGAGAGAGAGAGAGAGAGAGAGA